GTTACTTTCAATGGAGCATAGACCACCGACCAGCATCCTCCAACTGACTCTGTCCTGGGCCTTCCTTTTTAGTTCTATCCAACTTTTGTTCATTCTCCTCATGTCTGACTCTATTTCTCGGCGTAATGTGTTTTTTGCTCTTCCTCTTTTCCTTTGTCCTTCAGGATTCCGTGTGAGGGCTTGCCTTGTGACGCAGCTGAGTGCTTCCTTTAGTGTGTGTCCTATCCACTTCCAGCGCTTCTTCCCGATTTCTTTCTCCGCTGGAGTCTGGTTTGTTCTCTCCCATAGCGGTGTCTGGTCCTACTGTTTTGCTGTTTTTGATTTGTCTGATGGCAATGCTGATCTCTTCAATTGTTGGTGGGCCAACATCGATTGAGAGGTCCGTGGGTGCTACTTCGATATTGGGTGGGTTCAGTTGAGCTGGTAAATTCAAGAGTTCTTTGAAGTGTTCTACCCACCTGTTTCATTGTTCTTCAATGTTGGTGATTACCTTGCCTTCCTTGCTTTATACTAGTAGTACTGGTTAGGGTTTCTTTGTTGTATCATACAGTTGTCTCATGTTTCCCTCTCTTGCAGCCTTTTCCGCTGTCATCGCTAAATCTTCCACATATTTACGTTTGTCGGTTCTGATGCTCTCTTCACTTGCTTGTTTACTTCTGTGTATTCAGCTTGTGCCTTGGATTTTTCTGCTCTTGTTCAGCTGGTATTGATTGCCACCTTCTTGTTCCTCCTTTCTTGAATCTTATCCAGTGTACCAATAGTGATCCATTCCTTGTGATGGTGCTTCTTGTGGCCTAGAACCTCATGACATGTTGAAGTGATTGCCTCTTATCCCTTTCAAGTTGCTTCCCATAGTAGTTCTCTCTCCATTGAGTAGATTATGAAACGCCTGGGACATTTGCTGAGGACTATCTTGAATTTGTTGAGTTTGTCAGCATCTCGAAGAAAGGCCGTATTAGACTTTTGTGATGTTGTCCGCCCCGTTGTCCAATGCTTCTTAAGTTTTAATTTCGCCTTTGCGATCAGCAAGTGATGATCTGATGCTATATCAGCTCCTCTGTTGGTTCTCATACCCTCCATCGTCCTCCTGAACGTTTGTTGGTGCAGATATAGTCAATTTGGTTCTGCGTAGTGTGATCCGGTGAAGTCCATGTCGTTTTGTGAATGAGTTTATGTGGGAATATAGTGTCGCCTATGACCAGTTTATTGAAAGCAAATAGGTTTGCAAATTTCTCACCATTTTCGTTTCTTTCTCCCAGTCCATGTCGTCCAATAAAGTCCATTCCAATCTTGACATTGAAATCTCTCATCAGAGTGGTCAGGTCCTTTGTTGGGCACTTCTCGACGATCGGCTGCAGCCTATCGTAGAATTTGTCTTTAACTTCTTCATCGTAGTCGTTGGTAGGTGCATAGCATTTTATGATGTTCATTGTAATGCCCTCTCTCTTTGTTTTGAAGGAGGCTTTGATGATCCTTGGTCCATGAGATTCTCATCTAATAAGTGCATTTTGTGCTTTTCTGGAGAGCATCAACTCCACTCCTTGTGTATGTGGGGCATTTTCTTCTTCGTGACCGGAGTATAACAGAAGCTCCCCTGAAGTTAGTCGTTGTTGTCCAACCTGCGTCCAATGTGTTTCACTGATCTCAAGCACCTCCAAATTGTAGCTCCTCATTTCTGCAGCAATTTGGAAGACTCTTCCGGTTTCTCACATTGTCCGGACGTTCCATCTACCTATAAAAATTGTTGTTCTGGTTGTTAGAAGGGGCATGGGCCTCGTCACTCAAGAAGAATCTCGGCTTTCATCATGAGGCGTCATAATTATTCCTTCAACTTCCAGGGAAGAGTTTAAGTGGTTTGAATAATTTTTTTCTGGTTAGCGTTTTTTAGCGAGTTAGTTTTCTACGGGATAGGGTTACCGACCCCTCACCTAACCCTCCTCCTTTATGCCGGATTGGGACTGGCAGTAGCCCTAGGAGGGGCTACAAGCGGACTTACTTTAAGTCATAAATACAAATTATTACTCATTGAGATATTACAAAAACATACTATGAACTACAGCAACTGTTTTGAATAAAAAAAACTTGGCTGTTTCACACTGTCAGTGTTGATTACTTCATGCGACTTGAAAATGTTAATTTGACTGGTTAAATTTAGGTACGTTGGTAATGAATATCAATGTCTATTCATTCAAATAACACCACACACTCCCTTGGAAATTTAATTTCTCATAAATATACACTTCATATATTATTACACATTTTCTTATAACATTTAACTTCAATCATATAAACGTTATTCAAAAACTAATTGATATGTCTAGTCAAAAGGGACTTGTGATTGGTCAGGAAGCTTGTGAAGACTTTTTTAATTTATTGATATTTCTCATTACGGACCGGTTAATGAAGACTAGAAAGCACTGGACAGTAACTAAGGTATTTCATAATTACTAGAAGTCAACTTAAATTAAAAGTCTCATTCGTTGTATTCAAACTCAGTTCGCTAAGTTTATTATATCCGTCGTAAAACCTGAAATCCTTCGGTTTAATCCAACATAAGGACTTAAATCATTCCTAAGGAGTCTAAAACTACGAAGAAATGAGCATCTAGTGATACTTATCTTTAAAATTACTTACCAACTAATATTTCAACTTTTTAGAGGAATGTTTATTCTCCTCATTTGAATAGCTAGAAATATCATGATTCTGTTCTCAACTATTAACCGTATGCAGATTTAATTTCTGACAGTTAAAAAGATTGTAGTTTTTGTTTTCACCTAAATTACATTAATTTAAGTTACTACTCAACAAAATGTAGTCATTTCCATTCTCTCTTTCTGTATGTTTACCCATCTACCAAATATATTTAGGTTCCACAAAATGATCTTATTCAAATAACATCACCTTTTTTTAATGCAACCCATTTGTCCCTGTGACTAATAAATTCTTGGCAAAAAGGAATTTAAGAAGGATACTCTTAGTAGAACAAGATGTACAACTTCTGTATGTATAGGTATACTTGAATGAGCTATTTTTCTAATCAAGAGATTGTTTAAAAACAAAAAAGTTTTATGAATTACATAAATAAATAAAAAAGTTAAAACATCTGTCATCTTTTTCTCAAACTAACAAGAGACAAATCAACTTAAAGAAGAAAATTACTATGAACTCAATTTAACCAATAACAATATTTATGGTTGCTAGTGACTACGCGTATAGTCGCGATATCAAAAAAAAATTTAATTTTTAACAACCGTTATGAATAGATTATAGTTGAAATTGTATCAACCAACTAGAAAAGAATTTGAAAATCAATTTCAACGGTTACGGAATTGTAGAATTCGGTAAGTGTAACTGCATTTTTTACATACATGCTTTTATGCATATACTGTTGTCTAAGATAGTTCCGTCTACTGATTATCATGCTTGTGGTGGATATATGAATAGTTGAATACAGCATATATCATGATAAATGGTTTTAACTAAGCAGAGTATCAGGTTGATTGTATGTTACATCGGTTACAAAGAATCTTCATATAAGCAAAATGATACAACTTATGGCTTTTTAATCATTTAACTGGTTCTTCAGCTTAATTTAAATTTTCTCAAGTTATAATCGACTAAAAACTCTATTTCAATAGTCTTAAAAAATTTCATTTGTTTAATCTTGTATTACTCAAGGATTCTAAGCTGAACTTTACATGTTAGCAGAGTTTTATTTATTAACGTCTAGTGGTGGATAATCTCTCACGGTGATAAAGCTGGAAGCCATATTACTTAATCACTAACCCTTATTCATAACTTTTAAAAGTAACTATGATTCCGAGCAATAACAGTGGCACCTGATTGGTTAACTACTTTGAAAAAGCATATTGTATATGACAATGTTTATTTTGTCAACAAATACAGTTAGAAGTTACTCCATTATCCAGAAACAATGGTCTAAAAATTAGAATTAGGTACTTTGTAATCTATATGTGATATGACTTTTGTATCAGCATCCAATCTGATTTATTTTCTATTGAGATAATGTATGGTGTTCTGTTTGAATAATGACTGAAATAGGAATAATCTAGTAACTTTCAAACTATCGGCTATCCATTTCATTGTGAATAAGTTGTATCTCGGTACGGTTAATACCTCAACATATACAAATTTAATTTCAAATTCAATTACTGATCTTGTATAAACCAATGATTAAGTCTAAAGAGTTTTAATTCTATTTGAAAGTATTTTGATAATAATTACAAGTTGCATACCCATCTCATACCAATAAATAGAGTTATTATATTCATTTTCATATAGATGAATTATTAACAAGCAATACGATAGGATCTATTAGGGAAGGAGAACTACAATACAATAGTTCAATTATTTAATGAATTATATTAAAATGTTTTTTTTCTATTCACAATAACATTTCAGTACTTATCTGAGATGATGGACAAGTTTTATTGATATGTAACTATTAATTTTTATTGTTGTCATTTAAGAGTAACTTTACTTATTGATTAGTAATAGGTAAACATTGTGTCCTGATAATAAAAATGTCCTGCCTAATACGAAGACATTGGGTGAACGAATACTAATTGTCACCATGTTTTCAAATGTTTCATGAAATCACCAGAAAGTTATGGAATTCTAGTAATCAGTACCCAGTTTCACTTTTAAACTGAATGGTTTTCTTTTTAATAACAATCTATTCTTTTAATTTCAGCAAATTTATCTTTACAGACAGAATTAACAATCAGTAATTAGTTAGATAAGTTGTTTGGCAGAATTCAAACCTCGAAAGACTGTTTTAATCATAAAATGATACGATTAGCATGAACATGATAAATTTAAAAGAGTGAATTGCGAATAGTTTCAAAGTTTAAGACCACTCTTAACCTAAGCACAAAAATTATCCGATTAGAAAATAGTAATTCATTCGTAATAATTGCATCTACTGTGTACTAACAATTATTGAAAGTATATGAAACGAACTTGTATTCAGATTAAGAAAAAATTTAAAAAATTCATCATTAAGTAGTGTTCTATTAAGAGCATCACTGGTTTCTATATTTTTTACCTATTCACAATAAAGTCCTAATAAATTTATTAAATGTTACTGTTATGTCCTTATACTCTGAGAATATATCACGTGGCTTATCGACAATTACAATACTAACTTATTGACCAGACTAATGACTCATAAACTATTACGAACAGTCTAGAGTCACTCTGAGTTCTTATTGGACCTCCGAGATAGGAGTATCTTCTCTCCTAACCCAGTCGGTTCAGTCCAGAACACCAATATCAGCCTCCGTTATGTGAATCATGTATTTCAGACATATTTGGTTTGTATACAAACAAACCAGACCACACCATACCATAAAACAGAAAATAACAATTATATAGGATCAGGTCAAAAGTGGCTGTGACTGAGATACTGTTACAAACGACTGCGAATAACTTAAGAATAGTAAATCGTATAATAGTAATTAATAGGTTAAATAAAAGCTTATAATAAGAGGAATATAAATATATATAATCTAGTTAATCAATAGTTATACAATGAGAATATGTGTAGAATATTAGTCCATAAACAGTTCCCAGAAGTTACTCATAATTTAATCTTCGCTAGGATGTAACAGTTACAAAGAGGAATTATTTCCAATATCTGTTTTAGAATGAAAACAATAAACATTTTCGTAAACCTTACTGAATCTATTGTATTTTTTATGTGCAGTGATATTTTACCATTGTTTGAGAGAACTTAACTTTAAAGTTAAAAAGGATCTAATTTTTGATAGTTGTTTGATAAAGTTATAAAAAGTCTAGCTATAGTCATTGATATACATGAAAGTCACATCATTTATCATCAAATGAAAAGGCGCCATTTACACAGTACTGTCTCGGTCAAGTGTACCGAAAAATAATGATCATCTATTTACTTAGTATTTTGAATTTCTAGCTCTGTAATAATTAGTTTATGAAATGTGCTAATCTTAAGACTTTCTGAAAGCATACTGATTACTAGGTCTGAACGCATATCTAAATCTTCATAGAGCATTTTACATAGTCCTGTCATAACTGTTCATTTTAATATCTTATAGCCTTAGAGAAAAACAATATGAGAAAAGTATCTATTATTAAATTTAACTGTAGGATCTTGCATATATATTTTATTTTACTTGCGAATCACCAAATGTACTTAAAATTGATTGATCACTAAGTAGTGAATGATTTAATGCATACCAAGTTTTTCTTAAATCTAATTGAATTATACCGATCAAGTCGCAATGTGATCATTAGTCTAAGTTACTCAATATCACATACACTATAATGGGATGTAAAGTGTTTATATCTATAGAATTCGATCAGGACTAAGGGCTTGTTACACATGACATTGGTCGATACCCAGTGGTCACTCAATTATGAATATATTTCAGCCCTACAGAAGATTACATGTACCCCAAAAAGATCAATGTAAATGTCTCTGAATGGAGTTGAGTGACACGGGCCATCAATTCTTTCAAGATTACTGGTACATCTTTTTGGTGAGTACTGAATATGTGTCTGTATTTGTAGTAACTCTGGTATTGTCGCGTGAATTTCTCATAAATTATAAAAGCAATATCCACAGAAGTGATGAATGAGAACTACAGCATGTAATAAAAGTATTTGATCTCAGTGGGATCTATTACTCTCTTTTATTTTTGTTTCGTAAAAGAAATAATCCGAGAATAATTAAAGCCGGATGCATGAAATCCTCACTCAACTGTCCAAAAAAGCCTTATCAATTAAATTTCAACGACCAAATAAGAATTACATAGCAAAATGATGTCCACTTACTTAACTGAGTGACTACTTCATGAGTTTGATACACAGTATCCCATCATCATTCCATACCAAACAGTATGATACAATTTACTCTTAAATAATTAGTGAGTGAATTTACTTGTTTTCACACTGTATGAAGGAGATGAAATGTACAAAATTAGTAAACCACTTGTGATGGTTGCATGGAATAACTAAGGCAGTATTTTCTTCCAACATAAATTATGCACGATTTTGTTTAACACTATTTTGAACTTGATGTTCCTAGCAATTTTATTTATCGTTAAAAATTATCTACTATAGCATATAAATATCTAGACTGAATTTGAAAGAATGTCTGCTGAAAAATTATCCAGAATTGATTCAATTGATGATACTGATAAAACTCGTAAAGGATCACATGATACATCACAAACAGATAGTCGACGTCCATCAATTATTCCTCAGTCAAGACGACAAAGTCGTTTTAGTTTTGCATCACGTAAATCACTGTTTGGTGGACATGGTTCACTTATTGGAATGTTACGTGGTGGAGTTAATAAAAATATAAAATATGAGAATACATATAGAATACAACCGAAACCTAATGAAAGAATTAAACAGAAACAAGTTAGTTTTTTTATCAGTGAAATTTGATAATTGGCGAGACTATAATTTATGGACGAACCAATTAGATTTAGGATAACAGGATTTTTGCGCGAAATTCATTCATCCATTTGGCTAAATAACGTTTTGGCATTTCAGCTGACGTCAATTCGTGATGAAAACCTTAAATCTAATTCCTAACCCTAACCATCAACTGAAAATTGTAATCTTAATTCTTCACACTACTTTAAAACCCTCATTCTCTAGGTCACTTTAGTGTCGTTTTAAGGTCGTCCATAAATTATAGTTCACCAAACAACTTTATTGGTACTCATTTGTAATTATGATTAAAGAATAACCTTAGTTATTTCGACCCGAAAACTGTAATAGCTTCACTTATTTATTCATGTGATTAATGAGACCACTTAACAGTATTGACACTCAGTTACCTAGATCATCATTAACTTTTGCAGGGATAATTTCAGGTTTCGCTGATATTCACCTTCGTTGTTATCAATTCCGAAACATCAATGACTTATGTATTCCAGATTGCGTTTACTATAACTTAGATTATTCTGTTATATTCAATGTTGATTACCATAGTGATCATCGAGATTGCAAACCATTGATATATATCATTTACTTTAAAGGCATTTGCGGGTTCATGAATTAAGTACCTGAAGAAAAGTTTTATATGGTCTTATAAGTTAATTATTGAGATTTTGCTGGTACAGTTATTATCAACACAAATGCAACTTTTCTTGAGTGTTTATTGTGTACAAATAATTTTGTTTGAGAACATACCTACATTAAATGCCAGATACAAGTCACAGCATTAACGAAGTAATTAATTCTAATTCTCATCAGTTGCATCTAGTATTATGCTTTCATCTCGACTGAATACTTAATAACGTGTTTTGATGTGATGTAGTCACCATGGTTTGACACTTAGGTAACTTCTATAATAATGTGATTTTAATTTTGCTCGAATTGCGTTTGTAACCTATGTATTTAGTCATCAGTAAAAGGGTTATTCAAAGCAATAATAACTTAGGTTGGTCCGTGATCTCAAAATCATTCAGCAGTCCACTCGAACCTCCATACTGATTATAATGATTATGATGAGGAACCTAAACTCTCTTTTTCTTAGAAACATATGAATAACACCAATATTCTACTGTCTATGATTAGCATTTCCGTTTTCTTGTAATCAGACCAGTATAACTGTTGTTGTATTTGTAAGAAAGTAAACGTCCTTTGTAAAGAATATACAAAGCTACCAAAACTTGTTATTATAAAAACTACTTCCTTTAATACTTAATCACTATTGGTAGAGGAATTCATTTCAAAATACATATTGAACATTGATTGTGTCAGTTATTTCAATGGTGTTAATTTATTCTATTGATAAGCTATGTTGGTAGTTAAAGGATATGTAACATGTTAACTATGACAGTACACATTATATTTTGTCCTTTCACTATCGTATTTTATTTCTATTTTACTTCAATCAATCTATTGATAGTTACGAAATTTAATTCAAACGACATTGGATCATACATTGAAAGATGTTAACTACGAACCATTACAAGCACGTGTTTTATCAATGAATTTAGCAAATATGTTAAGAAAAAATGTACGTGAATTAAACACGCCATCAAGGTATAAATTTGTCGTACAAGTTCATATTGGTTCACCGGAACATAATAGTATATTTATTGGTAGTCAGTCTGTATGGAATATTGAAATGGGTGATACTTATGCATCAGCCATATTTTCAAATTCAAAGATATTTGCTGTTGGCATTATACATGCTGTATATTTTGAATAATGATTGTTGTCATGAGAGATAGAGAAAAGAAATATATCGAGTGATTATTAAATAATATTTACCATTTTTGTTTTAATATATGAATATCTTTGTTTTAAGCAATTACTACCACTATATATATATATGTCTGCTTATTTCTAATAAATGGAGAATATGATATTGTCTGTGTGCTTTAGAAAACATTAATGAAGAATAAGTATCTCAATAGATGGTTGTTATTTTATACTACGATATTCATCTTATCTTATCAGTGATTTAATTAACTGATCGATAGAATTTGGTCACTTCTAGAGGTCTAGACAAATATGAGTACTACTCAGTAATTATTTGATTATAAACAACTACCCGGTTGTTGCCCGAATAGTTTAATGGCAATATCTCAAACTGTTAAATTAGGTCATATGTACTTTAATCCACCAGGCAGCATCAGTTCTCACAATTCTACAGTTACGCCTTTAGGATGAGTGTCAACTAGTAGAAAACCTATTTCTATGGTTTCGTGTCGACTACTTACAACCCCGTAATGTAACCTATTTTATTATTTAACATTTTTGATACATACGATTTTATAGAGTTCAGCTGTATTGTCATCATTTCAAACATTGTGAATGTAGTTCTGACCTTAGCTCGATAATAGGTTTATTCTCAGTGTTTTAGGCAAGTGTTTTTTAACGACACTCAGTATGTAAAATGTTTAGTTGCTGTGGTCTTCGATAGTTAACTCTAGATGTAAAATAAGAATTCTAACTAGGCTCCTTCCATATACTAGTCATGTATTGAAAAAAAACTCAAGACTATAAATCACCTGAACAATCCCTAACACTGTTTTTATGATTAATTGTCCTTTGCTTTTTTAAATTAGTGATAATGAGTTACACTATAGTAAAACTTTCACCAAAAAATATTTCATTCAGAATCTGAAGGTTGGATCCCAGATAGCAGTCAATACTAATCACTTCTTCACAGCATACATTTTTATCCTATCAGTGATAGATGTGCATAATCTAACCATTCAATAGTATAGTTTATCTGGAATAACTTATTATTTTCTAGAAAGTCTGTAAGTAAAAAAAATAATAACGATTTGAAACATGACGTAAATAGGAAGTTAATAAGTTGATGCATGTAATTTTTTATAACAGGGATACTACCCCTAAAGTCGTAAAAATGATAATTTCGCAAATGCGATAACAATGATATTGGTGGTCTTGTAATAGTATTCCGACACGAGACAATGGGTTTTAAGCGTTCTTTATGACATAACGCTTTAGGCTGGGCTATTACGTTTGCTACCCTACATATGTGTTGTATGCAGTTTAAGCTATATTGCCATGTAGAACTGAAGGTCTCACACAAGACTGGAGGTTCGTGATTGACATTGTGAATGGTTCGGCATTACTTTGTCAAGTTTTGCTGATTGTTCTTTCGCAAAATTGGTTTTCTGGTTAACCGATTCCATTCATACTGGTGGTTGCTATTCAGTGTTCTCAGGGGCCATTGTCACTGGAACATTTTAAGGTATGTCGCCATTGCTAACAGTACTGAGTTTGACTGTCGTGTAAACAGAATAGGTCGACTTCGGCCTGTTCATGCTGTGCATAATAGATTTACGCGATCATTGATCGGAATGTGTATATGAATGGTGCGAATAATCCACCAGGTTGCTTGGTACCTGTGTGGTTGCGCCACAAGATTGAGCTGTACCATTCAGATTGTAGCGTTAAAACCTATATGGTGTATGGCTCTCCTGTTAAACGGGATTGAGCTGCACTACTTGGGTTGTTACGTTAAAGTCTGGATGGTGTCTGGTTCTCCTAAAAACCAATGCAAAATTACCTTGGCCCACAAGGGTATATTATAATTATAGATAATCTTTCATAATAGGTCAGGTGGCTAAGATATCCATTACATATTCCCAACCACTCTGTATATTAACATATGTTGTTTAGTAAATAAGTGGTCTGGAAAGATCGGGATGGCCAAATCAAAACGTGGCAGTGATCAAAGTCTAGACCATGTAGGTAGGTGAAGACTACCTGGTTGGGCTCTGTTCGATTATTAAAAGCGGATGTTGGAGATGTTGGATGATATAGGTCCAAATCGATTTTAATTGCAAGTGCATGAACTCTCGTATGCATTAGGTCTTAATTTACGTATGATAGATTGAATTGCTTTTATCAACCACATAATCTGGTTATTTAATTTTCTAAATATAATTGCGAACTGAGGTATTTTTGAATAATGTATATGCTTATTGCACCTTCGGAGCTTTCTGTCACGTGATTAATGTATGAAGATTTCAGTTAAAGCAGTAGTAGTAGTAAAATCTATATCTGTAAATAGTACAGATGATACGTTCTATATTTTTAATGATAACCTCGATCTGAATAACAACATTGTTGAAGCACGTAGACTTCCGTCTATTAAACAGCTTAAAAACAAAAACTAAATAGAACCAAACGTTTCACTTCCGTCCAGCTTTAAAAGACGATAATAATTTTATTTCTTCATACATTTACAAAGAGCTGATTGATTCCGTTAAATAGCTACTTAACTAAATGACTATCTATGTAATTATATTATCATTAATATTAAATGATCTAAGGTAACTGACTCAGAACCTGGGACAAGCGTTTTGCAGTCGGTTGTAATTATTTACAAAACTTACGCGAGATTCTGAGGGAATTCTTTGATAATTACAAATCTAGAATTATTTCACTGAACACCTCTATGTTACTGTTAGGTTTAAAGTGATATACGTCCAAGTCTCTGTGATAGCATTAATATTGTAAATAAGTCATCTCAGTAATCTACCTCGGTTTGAAGATCTACAATCATTCCACTTCAATAGCTTAGCATCGTAGTGCAGACTTTCAGCAACACAACGACATTCTGCTAAACAATATCTTTACTGAAATTATCGAAAACATGTTTTTTTTAAAAACGTAAAAAATATACTTAGAAGCTATATATTTACAAACTAGAGTTCACTGAATAAATAAATCCATTGAAGATAACGTTAGTAGCCTCATAATGCACCGTTGTGAAGTTAGGATTGATTACCAAATCATATCTTCATTACTAGAGAGCTCTTGTTAGGATTCTCTGTAATTATTCTAGGGGGTAAAAAACCGAAACATTAAGTAAACCATATATTGGAAACAATTACTAATTTCATTAAGTTTCTGAAAGTTTGTTTAACCCAACAAAAAAGAACAAACGATGAAGAATTGTTGAGAAGTTTATTGTTGAGCTACTGAGTAGAAATCTGTGAACTATTATGTCATACATAAGTCTAGTCGCAACCTACCATCCATTGTAATAGACAAAGAAAATTTACTTGTTAAGAAACCATTGAAGAATTGGAAAACATTGCTCATTATTCCAAGGTTTCCAATTTTTATCGAAATGGTATCAAATTAACGTGGAAATTATGCTTAAATTAAAAGTTTCACTCATTAACAACACTGAAACCATAATAAATAGTGGTTCTAGAAATCATGAGAGGTCAGTGGTCTGAACCAAGAAATTGTAAATACGGTGAATCGAAAAATTAAAAAGAAGTAATATGATATTTGAAGCACAGATGGAAAGAAAAGGTTTGTTTTAATTCACCAGTAAATGTAAGGGGATCATCAGTTTAAATCTTTGTATATTGTGTATTTCATAAACTAGTTTTATTTTTGGTTACCAATGGTTAACAGTTTGGGGATGGGTAGAGATTGTAGTATTTTCACAATTGAATTCATGAATCGACCACTGGAAAACTGAAGACTCTGGATGGCCGTTTCATCCTAGTATGGGACTCCTCAGCAGTGTACATCCACGATCCCCATGCGGGACTCGAACCCAGGAACTTCGGTCTCGTACGTGAACACTAAACCTCTAGAACACTGAATTGGCATCCAATGGTGTTAATGTCTAACTTTAAACGATCCACGATCATGCGCGATGGTTAGTTTATGGTAGTTATTCTGATTTATGGATACAATATTATGAACTGATAATCCTAAAAATTTAGCTAAGCAGTTTATCTTTTGATTGGCAATGGTTCACATGAAAACAGAATTGACATCTGAAGTAAAATGCTCCAGACACATAAAACCTCTCTTTGAACTATAAACACGATGAATCTAGCTTTTAAGATGCAAGAATGTCTCTGATAATATTAATTGAACATTAAAAGTCCTTATATATTATTAGATTAGAGGGTTAGATATTTCTCATTAAAGATGTTTGGATATATCTTAATAGTATTCATTTCTAATTAAAAAATCAAAATATTTGCTTTACTATTTACGAATAGCTAGAGTTTATTTACACCCATTAACTGTGTTCAGGATACATATTGTGGTATAATGAGATAGATCACGATTATTCTAAATTATGAACAAGTAAAAATGCCGCCCACCATGATCAAAACCTATGAGTTCTAGATACCCGAACAACTAATCTCTATAACACTTCAGCAATAATAATCTTTCCGTGAAATTTAGTAGGGGGTACATGAATTGTTAAATTTGTTGCGAAACAACTGGTCAATAAATATCCTCAAACTTAGTAAGCTATCACCACCTAAAAGTGAAAACCAGAAGTATATATTAGGCAGATTATTGGTATCATGAAATACAATATATTTTATAGATTACATGAGACCATTTCCTAAGAAAACATCCAAAACTTTCATTCAATGGTTTTTCAATCTATATATTTACATCCTAGAAGCATTTGTTAGCTTTTCATTGAGTAATTGAATTCGAGGTACTTACAACTGAAGAATGGTCGTATTCCATACATAATTCCTTGTACTAACTTGACTTCATGAAAACGTTCACAGTTATCTACTAGATTTCATATTGATTGTTTCAGATTATTTCGTCATCTCTTACACATGACCAAAACATTACTGTAACCTAAATTTTTCCACCAAATCAAGTGTCGGGAAGTATACAAGAATTTAATCTCATCATTTTAACCCTGAATCATTTCTGATACCTACTGTATGTAAATACGTTATTATTCAACATTCTATCGGTTAATCTTGTTTACTATTTTTTGTTCCTTAAATTTACAGATTTCTCCTGATTTAATGTCATTTTACTTGGGTGGCATTTTCAAATTTGATTGTTCACTGATTACTCACTGTATGGTCAACTTTCTTTCTCTTTTT